GGTAAGACTTTTCAGCTTGACTTTTATACTACTATATAGTCAACAGCAAGAGCTCTTAAAAACAATCTTACTCGAGCATCGGAGGGTCTTAGGCTGGTTCCACACCGGTTCCATAGACTTTACGAGCTTCGCTTATCTTCTATTCAGGATCAGCATCCAAGGACAGGAAGAATCGGCATCCAACACCCAATCGATCTCTTGATCGTCCATCCCACTTGTAAGTTGCACTCATCTCTATCTATTCAAGATTTAGCGCCAACACATCTTAAATAAACCCATATTAATAAAATAAGAATTAGGATTAAATAGTCTAATTGTGTAAAACAAACAAGCCCTAATGGATAAAGCACTAAATGAAATTTGCTGAAACAGTGAAGAAATTTGGATATGAAATCATAATTCTTTTTATTTTTTAATGACTTGGGTAAGGCAGCTGATAAGGTTTGGCTCCCAGTTTAGATAGCTGTTACTAGATTGCCAACACCTCATGCTGAAGAGAAAAACTTTCCTGGCACGGTGGTGTCAGGTCAGCATTTCAGCTCAGTATCCCTAGCCAATGAAATGCTGCCAGCTGTGAATCTTTTTTATTTCCTTTCCCTCTTCCCTTACCGCTGTCCTTGGCCCGCAACCCTCCTTTATTTTTTCTCCTTCCCCTTACCTTCCATTCCTTTTGGCCTGCAACCCTCCTCCTCCTCCTCTTTTTATTTTTCTGGTTTTTTACTTCTATTTACATCTTACCTTGCGTTCTCCTTGGCCTGCAACCCTCGTTTTTTTTTTTTTTTTTTCTGGTCTAAAACCTCAACACTCCCCTCCCTTTTTAATCTCAATTCTTAAGTCTCTCTTCCAACTCACAGGGCTGATAAACTGTAAAATTTCAATGGTAGGTGAACTCTCAGCTAATTGAGAATGGGGACAAAAGCCACAAAAACAAAACCAATTTCAAGAGTGAATCATTACCCATCAAACTGAACCAACAAAAATACAGACATAAGAAATATGAGGAGAGAACTATTTGGGGGAAGGGATACTTTTTTTTAAATTTATACGAAAAGAAGAAATTACAAACAAAAGCCCCAAAAACAGGGATGGCCAACACAATCAAAACGCAGGAGCAACAGTTTGACAGATAGTATTTTGTATTTTACTTTTAAGCTTGGGGTTTTTGTTTTTGGGCTACAAAATGCTTTGGGTTTTACAACCCAAATTTGTATTCCATAACAAAAGAGGAGAGTGGCAGAGGTATTGCTGAGGAGGGAGAAGAGCTTGGTCTGGACGGAGGAGAGAGAGAATTTAAAGGGGGAGGAGGTTGAAAGTTCAGACGAGAACAAAGGGAACAAAAACAATCAAGGATGAGGATTGTGCGACAGGGAGAGGGGAAGAGGGGAGGGAAAGGAAATAAAAAATTATTGACAGCTGGCAGCATTTTATTGGCTAGAGATTGTGATTGGACATGTGGGCTCCACTTATCTTCCACCTCATACACTTAACAGAGTTTCTGACGGCAGGGATCATTTGTGATAAAAAGTCCAAACGTGAAGGACTATTAGTGTCACAAAAAAACCTCAAGGACCATTCGTGATAATTTCATAAACGTGAAGTACCATTTTTGATAAAAAGCCTAAATTCTATAGTGAATTATATTGGGGCAGGAGGTATGGTGAATGCAGGGAGATTTGCATCCATGACTTGTACAAATATCTCCAAATGTGTAAAGAGTTTGAAAAGAATATCCCTGCAGCATTTTTGAATGACTGTTAGGGAAAAATGTTTGTGTACTTTAATATGATTGGAATGTTTTCTGTAGAAAAATAAAATGTTCTATATATATATATTATTTTAGGAAGATTTGCTCATGGGGCTGTCAAAGGAAGATTTGCATCTGGTAACACAATCTTAGACGAAAAATCTGATGGTTAGTTTATTTATGTTCGTATTTTAGTATCTTTAAACTTTATATTAGTAACACAATCTCAGATCTTGATCATTACAAATTTACAGTCAAGTATTATAAATTGATAATTGTATTAAATGCCAAGTATATATGTGTGTATGTATATAATTAGAAAGTATGTATTGTATGTGATCAGTGCTCTACATGGAGATGGAGGAAGGGGCTGCCAAGTACAAGCGGACCAAAACGCAGGTATGTTTCCAATTCCAATGTGGACATTATAAGATGCAATCTCAACACCAAGTAGAAGATTCTTAAGTCAAAATGAGGGTGCAAAATCAAATCTTCTACATCAATTGAAATTAAAACAGGCAACTAAGTAATATTATTACAAACATAGAAAATATGATTATTAAACTCATTTCATTCGCACGTTATTCCTCTCGCATGCTATTGACTTCTCAGCCATCGTCATTCTCTCAGTTTCATTAATATGAATATTGTCTGAGAAAACTCGGACTTGAATCCTGTGGCAAAAGGAGGTCGCGAAATCGGGACTGGGAGTTATCATGTCGCTCAAGTGCGCCATATACCTATAAGAAAGCGAAAGCTTAAGCCCGAACCTGAGCGACAGAGCTGTGATGTTGTCATTAAAGATTTCTTTTGACAAATCATCGCCTATGTAAGCGCTGAGCATGGGGAGTTTGAAACTCACACTTGTCTGGTTTGACGATGTTAAAAACAAGGGAGGCAACGACGTTGCTGCGAACACCGCGAGTTTGTATATCTGCCACTGCTCCGTAAGATGTTGGTACCCTGGACCGTAGAAGAGCGAGGCATGGATGGTGTGGCAATAGATGTCCCACTTGTCGTTGGGGTTTGTGGCGAGGAGGGTCAGATCCCACGTAGCCGTTAAGTCGGAGGAGCGAGTCGCATTGTGCGGGTACCACAGCACCGCTGAGTGGACTCCAAACTCAGGGTCCAACGCTTGCGGCACGCTCATCATCGTGATGAATAAATACACTGCGAGACAAATTGCAAATTTGCTGGAAAAACACAATGCGGCAAGACATGTATCCCTATTACAATTGGGGATTAAGATCTTGTTGTCGTCTTGTTGGGCTCCGGATGCAGCAAGCAGATCATTTTGGTCGAGAAGAGACGGTTCATTTGAATCGGGGATTAAGATCTTGGTGTCTTCTTGTTGGGCTCCGGATGCATCAAGCGGATGAACCGTAGAACTCCTGCTACCCATAGCCTTATTTGATTCACTATTGTTTATGATTTTTCTAATATGCATGCATGCGCGTAACTGCACCAGAAATGAAAGGAACTCTCCTCTCCTTTGGACTCGGCTGGCTTTCAGAATAATATTGTAATCCAAATCCGAAACTATTTCAAAATCGGTTATTAACACAGGTGGCTGCCTTCTGGCTCTTCTTAAAGCCACATCATAAAGTTTGATTTGATCTTTTCAAGGAGGTCTTAAAGTTAAACTTGGATTCTACCTTCGCTTATATAAAAATATCATTTTGCTCTTGCATTTAACATAAAAGTTAACAAAATTAATAGCAGGATTATTTGTCCTAACAAAACTAAAGTTAAAGTTCAATGGAACCATTTTGGAAATTTAAGTACTCAAATGCAAATCGGATTAACCCAACTTTAATAAGATTCAATCTAACTAAATTTAAAAAATGAAAGTGAAAAGTGAAAGAAAATAAAACCCCACTATTGTTGAGATTCCGAGATTTCTTCAATTTGATATTTTTGACTCACTAAAAATAATGTGAATTCACAAAGAATAAATGTTCTTGTGAGGGATTGAGGGAATGTTGTTCTTGTTGTGTGAGGAAATGTAATTTTTCACACCCAAACTAACAAAATTTTAAAATTTTCAAACAAAAGTTTCAAGTGTAATAATAAATTCCAATACATGATTTGAGTCATCTATATATATAAAGCAAAAGGCAGAGAATAGTGAAACATTCAAAATACTATAAAATGCCCTTGGTTAATGCAAACATTAAGAATTGAAATTATTAATTAAATGAGGATAATATGATAAATTCATATTTTTTCATATTTAAAAAAATTAAAATTTTAAAAAAAATTAATGGCCTATTTTTATAGGGACTTAAGTGGTGTATAGATTAATATATTTGAATCAGGGTAGACAATGAATAGATTAATTTTTTTCAGCCATACGACGTCGTCTAATGAAGGTTTAAAAGAATAATAAAATAAAAAGGTCAGAAGAGAGAAGTACAACGAGTTAAAAAACGAACAACGTAGTAAGAAGTGAAAAACTGCAAGTACAGTAGATATAGAAGCAGGGTACATGCATGTCAGATATCATATATGTACACAAACGTATGCACATGATGAATGTATATGTTACATTATTCATTGGTTAGCTTTTTCAGCAAGTATACGGTCTTTCATGTATGTATAGGTTGCTGATCTTTCTAAGAAAGAAGCTGAATGGCTAAAGCGAGAGGGTGAACTGCAGCAAAAAGTTCAACAGTGTACAGAGGTATTGTTTAATTTGCTACATTTTGATTGTATATAACCTTCGTATGCACGTCGAAATGTAGCATTCTTCTGATTGTGTATAACTGTATTTATTGAATCTGTCATTTACACTGTATTTGATTTATTTTGTTTCTGGTCATGTATATCCCTCTAGCCACATGCTTTTGCAAACAATATCAGCAGTCATGTTTTCTCTCAGCCCCTGAAAGTATTCTTTGTTTCACATTACATTTTAATGTCTCTATAGTTTTAGGTGATCCACCTCTTTGCTCACTTTTATCATGGGAAGTAGTTATTGCCCTTTGGGTGTCTTAGTACTCGTATAGTTTCTGAGGTCAGTGTTGTTTTCCTCTCAGCCATCGATGGACTCTGCTAAGATTATGCAGTCAATCACAGCTCAGTGCAATGACATACTGAAGTGTTTGGATGAGCATTTTACTGGATTAGCGCACCGAATTGATGGAATGGGAGCGAATTTGGAGCACAGAATTGATGGTATTGAAGCAACTTTGGAGCGATTGGAGCACCAAAGTCCAGAGGATGATGATCCTCACACTTGAGTTGATTTTGTTCTCCTCCCTCTCCTCCCTCGCCTTCAAAACCCCCCAATCGAAATCCATCCGCTTACAATCTCTCTCTCTCTCTCTCTCTCTCTCTCTCTCTCTCTCTCTCTCCATCCATCCAAATCCATCTTACAGATCTCTATCAAAATGGCCGCAGGGCCTCCCTCTCCTCCCTCGCCTTCAAAACCCCCCAATCGAAATCCATCCGCTTACAATCTCTCTCTCTCTCTCTCTCTCTCTCTCTCTCTCTCTCTCTCTCTCTCTCTCACACACACACACACACACACACACACACTCACACACGCGATGGCCGCTGGGCCTCCCTCTCTTTCAAACCCCCAATCAATATCTATGGCCTCCCAATCAATATTTGGTATCATCTATTTGAGAGATCTACCATTTGAGTCTGGGATGAAAAATAAAGGCTGGCAGGCTGGCTGGCTTTCCGTAGCGGCGGCGGCGAGATCCCATCCACCGGTCCTCCTTGCGGGAAATTTGATTCCGCCCTCACGAAGAACAAAAGACGCCATGCCTACCTGCCTGGGAGAGGGCTCTTTGCTTGTCCTCTTAATATGATAGATCTGGTTCTATCACATAGATGATACCAGAGGGTAGATCTGGGAGAATAGACAACGAAGAATCAGTCTCGCGATGCAAGGAACGCAGAAACCTGATGAAGGAGGCTGTCGTGGCTCGAAACGCCTCTGCTTCGTGCCATTCCAGCTACGCCATGGCCTTGAAGAACGCCGGAGCTGCGTTAACCGACTACGGCCACGGTGAAACCCAGGTGACCCAAGAGCTCGAAATCCTCTAAAGCCACAATCGGCCACTGGACCCCGCCACTGAGCCGCCTCCTCCGCCGCCGCCTCACCTCGAGAATATCAACCTTCCACCGCCTCTACCCACTTTCAAGATCTACCATTTTAGTTTGTGATCAAAAATAAAGGCAGGCAGCCTGGCTGCCCTGATTTTCAGGCCAAAGAGGACCGGTTGCATTTAATGATACGTTGTAATTATAAATTGTTCATAGGGACAAAATAGTCATGAAAATTGTGCATTGAATGTTGGCTCATTTTCCCAAACTTTCCCATGAGGAGGGAAAACAAAACCCAAGTTAAGAGGAGGGTTTCACTTTCCTCCCTACTTTCTCATGTGCTAGGAAACCATTTCCTTTCTTAGACTTACCAAACATGGGAAAGCAATTGAATTCCCATTCCCAAGCCTCCTTTCCCATGAACCAAACGGGATGTAACAGTCGTGAAAGAAGCTTGTTCACCGGCAGAGCACCTGGCTGGACACAATTGCTCTGGAAATATTTCACCGAGGAATCCATTTCGTCAAAATCTATCTTGACGAGCTTTGCCGGACAAACATGCCAATTCAGTTTACTAATTAGAAAATGTAGGCAGACATTTCAATGTCTCCCAGTTGTTAATTAAGCTTAAAAAGTTCTACATTACCAATTACATGCATTTTAACAAGAGATATTTAGTCATATTCCCATTCTTAGCACTAATAATATAGTCAAATTTTACACCATTTAATTTCTATAAACAAACCAAAAAAAAAAAAAACACAAAAATGACAGTTGGTAATATTGAATTTAATATTGATTATTAAATTACTTTGATACCCTATTAAGAGCATCCACAATGGGCTCCCTAAATTACATTCTTAGACAAATTTTAGGGAGGAATTGTAAAAATACAACTCGCCCGCGCTATGTGGGCTGCGTCTGCCGCCTGGGCCTACTTTTGGTAAGTGTGCTGCGTTGGCGGGCTGGGCCTGCTTTTGGTAGGTGTGTTGTGCAGTCGGGCTGGGTCTGTTTGAATTGATTTTTCAGAAGTTTATTCAACCTGAAAATTGTATAAATGTAACGTATCCATTTTTTCCCTGAAAATGTATCGTATCCAGCTTTGAAAAAATAAAAAATTGGGCCTCTTTGGGGATTTAGGGTTTTACTATCTCAGCCTTTTAGGGTTCTCCCACCCCAGCTCATTGCTGCCTCATTGTAAAATTAGTCTTTTGGGTGATTCAGACGGCAACCAATTAAGAAGGAAGAAGAACTCACCAGCTCAAGCTAAGGAAGAAGGAAGAAGAACTCACCAGCTCAAGGTCGGTCTTTTTATTCTTTTAATAAAAACATGTTGATTGCAGGAAAGAAACATGTTTCCCAAGCATTATATGAGCTCCCTTCATTTTGGTTTTACTAACTCTGTGATGCATGTCATGTTGAAGAAAAACAAATCTGCTTATAAATATTTGGATGATAAAACAATTCTAAGGTTCGTATTTTTGGTTGGTTTAGAATATAGATGCAGGTCATGTCATTTTTTGTTAGCATATCATGTCAAATTTTGTGGAAATTAAATCAAACCACTAATCTCTGACACATCTGGTGCAAGACAATTCCGCATGCTGCTGCTGCAATGCTCTTTCTGCTTTTTACATCTCACTCTGAATTCCCCTGGTTTTTAATTTGCAATTATACTTGTTCACTCTCTGCCATTATTTCAAGTGGCCTTCTGATGCAGGGCAGCGGCTATAAGCTGCTGTCCAGCGACGCAAACATACCCAAAATATAGAGAATAGAAGGATAAAGCAATAGAATCGAAGTTGGAACGCAGATAATTGAGTTCATGATTGAAGTTTAAATTTTATAGAGAGCTCCTAAAATAACTTTTATATGTTTTTAGCTAAAATTTAATTAAAAAATAGAAAGCATGATTGTGGATGCTCTAAGTGTTTTGGATTTGTTTTAAAAAATCAATGATAGTTTTGTAATTTAAAAAAAGTTAAATTTTTTTTATTATATTATAAATGGGCTTTAAATATGTTTCCAAAGTCCATTATATTTTATAATTTGGGCTTTCTCTTAGCCTCCAAAACTATTATTGGTTTCACATTACATTTTAATGCCTTTATAGTAATTAGTTTTACATCTTTTTTGCGTGCATTTATCCTGTGAAGT